AATTGACGTGCTAATCTCCTCGGGGATCTTTTGTGTTATAAAGACCATCGGCAGTTCTATATCCATGTTTTTTTTTTTTTTTTTTCCGCTGACAGATATTTCGCAGCAAAACCTTCTGCTTGATTTAGGACGCACGAGGGAATTCCGTTTTTTTTTGTTTCTAATTATTTGCAAATATAAAAAAAGATTAGTATCTTGCCAACTGGCGATCCGTTTTCTCGGCAACTATATATACCACCGCCGTCGTTCGCGTTCACGAAAACTAGTTACGATATCGCGATCGCGGCAAAACTTCATTGATTATCCGCTATCTTCAACCCCCGGCGTCCCGGAAGCGTGTAGTAAGTCAATCTCGCGCGCTGATAGATATCCGACGCATATAGGGAATTGATGCGCGCCTCTTGACGGATTTATTGGTACACGAAGGAAGCCCCATGTGAAAAGTTGTCGTTCGTTGCCCGTGATGCTCGTTAAACGGAGTTTTGCGGCCGGAGATGCGTTTAAGCGTTCATTAATCGCGCTCGCGCACAGAGAGACGTGTGTGTACTTTGTACGAGCACAGTCCGTTACGCAGAAGCTATGCCGGGAATAACCGATCGTTGCTCTTTTTTTTTGTACGGATTTCCATTAAATATTACGAGAGACTCGAAACGGCCCGCGGGGTTCGCCTCGTCTCGCAGCTGCGTCGATTTTGCATCCGGTCAAGGACGAGATCGTGCGCGCGCGAGATCGATACTCCTTTCTCTCTTCCCTCCTCCCCCCTCCCTCCCCCCTCCCCCATGGCGTGTGTACCATACGGATTCAATCGCGGTGAAAAGTATAGTGTCATTAGCGATTCTCTCTGTTCTCTCTGTCTCTTCATTTCTCTCTCTCTCTCTCCCTCTCGACGACGGCTTGTTACGCGCGGCGTTAATATCCTCTCGTCGACGTCGGGCTTATCGATGGCACGGCTGTCGCGGCGAATGTCGCGTCGAAATTATCCACTCGTTAATATTTCATCGACGTTCGATTAACGTCAAAACCGGAACGGTGTGCGCAATGTGCTCGGTTTTCCCGGCGATGATTTATCGCCCCGGTCACGGGTGAGAAAATTTGCGCGCGCGTGTGTCAATCGCGCGAGAGAAGGGTGCGGAAGGAGGAGAGAGAGGGGGGCAAAATAAGTCCGAAAGAGAAATACGAAATATCTCTCTCCCTCGCTCGCAATGAAAAATTGTTTGTGCAATTTACACGGGCTATTAACTATTACGGGGAAAACTTCTTCACGACGAGATTTACCGTATCGATAATTCGATGTACTGTGTCCGCGGTGGAACGAAAAAAAAAGATCTAAACCAAGATTCAAAGTTATTCATCGTCGGAATGCTCCCTCCCATTTATGCTCGATTGGCTACGGAAGTGGAGCAGGGGATTAGGTTCGAGTGCACCGCTATTTTTCTTCACGGTCAAGGACGTCGCTTTACCTTGGTCTCTGAACGGTCATTACGTCAGCTGTCATCGGAATTCAAGTCACGAGAAAAAAAAAAACTTTGTGTTCGATCATTTCTGTGTGTCATCGAAAAATTGCTTTGCACGTTGCATTGGCTTTAATATTGCACACAATAAGTAAAATCCACTTGTATAGAGAGGACGAATTAAAATCGACAAAGACAAGCCGCAAAGTAACCGCGTTATTTAGCCGCGAAACGCACACCGAAAATGATTTTTCCGGTTCCCCGCGGACTTCGCGCGCGCACATCGCTAAGTCGTTCTGATTCAACAACTGCTCATCGATTCGCTCACTTATCTCGCGCCGAGAACCATCGAAGCGTTTTAAAGTAATCAATATCGCGCCGAAACGTCAGTACGCACAGATATAGGAGGCGAATCTCATTACCCTTCGCTGCTAAGGCCATTGTGCAGCCGAACTTCATTATCCGGACTAATTATTTCAAAGTTAGTCGAACAGTTCGCCACAATGTAATGGCGAAGGAAACGGTCTCAGTGCCGGGGAGAGGTCTCGAGATAGAACGGCGGGAGGAAGATAGCACGGAAGAGAAAGAGAAAGAGAAAGAAAAAGAGATAGATAGAGAGAGAGAGAAAGAGAGAGAGAGAGAGAGAAAGAGCGAAATACAGAAGGGGGAAAGTGGGAGGAGAGGAATGAGAGGGAGGGAACCGCGCGAAGGAGAGAACACCGCGCACAGAGAGAACATAATATCGCTTGGTACAAGGCTCTCTTGCCTTTGTTGCCATTCATTAAGGTAATTACAGGAACCGATTTTCCCGCGAATGCCTGGCTGCAAGTAAGAATTGAATACTGGTGCAGCCGGCATGGTACATAGCGTTTCCCGACGCGAAACATCGCTCTAAACCGACGCGACGAATAACGGGGAACGGCGTCCGGTGAACTCTTAAATTACAACCGTCGTGTACTGCGTCAGTTAACTTCAGCTCCCTCGCTTTTTTCTCTCTCTCTCTCTCTCGATATTTCGAGCTATAAAACAACGTAAAATTGAAGCCCGAAAATCTAATCGCGAAGATTTATATACATGCGCGTCATTGCGCGGCGGTCGCGAGTCAACGGGACAGGTCTCTCGACACTATACCGCACACACGTAAACGTGGGAATTACATGACGCGCGAATTACTTCCTTATCCTTTAACCGCGAGATATAGCGGAACTAATTAATGATCATATCGCGTCACAAAACAACATTTCTCGCACCACTTGTAATTGGATTTTGATCGGATCTCCATTCCGCATCTCTACTTGATTTTATAAATTTCACGTCTTTACTGACTTTTGAGAAATATCGTAACATTTTTCAGTTCCTCAAAGAGAACTTGATCTACGAGAGAGAACAAGTTGACATTATTTGTCAAATCTCAACAACACCGAAGCCGAAACACTTTCTCTCTCGTCAAACTTGCGATTTAAAATACAATGCGCGAAATTATACACACACGCCAACTATACAACGCACTGTAAGAAACGTTGAAACCTGCTAAAGAAAGAAAAAAGAAGAAAAGATGATAATTTGAATAGACATTCTCGACGACGTGCACGACACAATTTCACACATTTTTATCCAGTTTTGTCGTGGTTTTGCTACATACACGATTCTCAATTCGCGAACACAGTAAAGGCGCTGTGTTTTTACACAGTAACTCGGTTGCCGAGTCGAGCTTTGGTTTTCGCGAATTACGAACGTTCTCGAGTAATAAAATAAATCGCGCCGTAAGAGGAAAAATGTTGCGATTTGTCGACGGGAAACAGCGCACCGCGCGCAGACTCACGCGTCTTTGCCATTCTATTTTCGCGAAGCCGTCGAAAAAAAAGAAAAAACAGATCCGAGGATATACCATTCGATCCTTAATCAACCGTGCGGTCGATGGCGCACACGAGAGATAGGGTATAGGTGTACTTATCACATAGAAGCTGCTGATTCGCGAGGGATCGTCCTATTATATACGACCCTCATTAAGTGCGGGGTCGGAACATCTATCGGTGCAGGTAGAATTACGCTACTGTAAACCGTTAACTTCTTTTATGCAATACCGTTTCTATGTTATATACTCGTGCCAGAAGAGTAGTTTTGCCCGATGTGTGTTCGCGATGAAAAACGCTCTACGATATATTTAAGGTTCGATATTTTCTCTCCGTTATCGTTACACGTCACGCACACGGTTCGAAATATCGACACTCCGAACATCCTCTCTACATTTACGGAAAAGGATGAAAGGAACGACGAGTCGGTTTTAACATCCTGTTTCGTTTTTTTTCATCGGAAACGATTCCTGATTAAATTCTTGACTCAATTACGTTGTGAAAATCACTAAATACCGCCGAGTAATCGCGCAGTTCCTTTCGGACGCTGTGTGCATCGTAATTCCCTTTCATCCTTTTCCCGTGATATTGCGGCGCGGAGTCAAAAAAATTGTAGAACGTCTTCGCGACGACGACGACGACGACGACGACGACGACGACGTGGCCGCGGTGACACTGCTTGTCCCGTGCTCGACGATTATGCAACGACACTCGCACGCGCGTTGATTCGAGGGGAACCGAATCAATTATTCTCCGGATCGCCATCGGAACCGGAAGAGATCGGAATTTTTCTCGAGTGCGCGAAACCGCCGAGACGGAAAATTGTTTTTCCGCGATCCACCGTCGGAACTACCGTAGGCCAACGCCGTCGGTATAACTGCCGGCGCCGTAGATGGAACTTTATCGATTTCATCGGGAATACAGCGCGCATCGTCAGTGGATTGGGGCACACACGTCGTCCAGCAGCCGGCGAGACGTGAAAACGCGAAATGGAAAAACTCGAAGCCCGATCGAGGCCGCACACACACGGACGAGCGGAATTTTGCGTTTAATTGGAAAAAGAGACGCGGCGTCCGCCTCACCGACAGTGGGGAGATGCGGCGATTTTGTATTTTTTTTTTCTCTTCTCTGTATATATATATATATATATATATATATATATCGCTCGACCTATATATTTCGACGGGCAATCTGATCCCAGAATTTTCGCAGCCGCCGCGGTGCCGCTTTGCGACCGCGCGAGCGAAGCGGATCTTTAACGGTGAAACATCAAGAGAGGGACGAGTTCACTATCCGGCGAAAATTCCGATTCCGGTCTCGCGCCATCGAGGATGACGCGCAAGATAGATCGTCGCCCGTTTTTATTCGCGCGACAACGGTTCCCGCGCCGCGGACGGATATCTCGGGCGACGTCTATTCCCGGTAACCTGTTCCGGGCGACATGGAGAGATGATCGAGATCGTTCGGAAACCTCTCGTCGATCTCTCTCGGCTGTGTGTGACTCTCGACCCGTCGTCGGAAGCGCGAACCCGGCGATTTCACTGATATACGATCCGCGCTACTCCGGATGGTACGTACAACACTTGGCTTATCGTTTCTCTTTTCTCGCAGTATAGTCTCGCAGGGTAGTCTCGGGTAATCTGCGTGAGAGACGTGTGTGTGTGTGGACAATCGTTTTCGTCGAATCAGCACATACCTGGGGAACGACGATACTGGACTTGAGAGTTGGTCCGCGCGCGTCTCGTTTTTCTTTCTCCAGTCAGGAAAATCAGGGTAAAGTGCTGCGCGTCAGAGAGTAGAACTGTGGTCGCGGTACTCCGCACGCAGGGAAGTCTCTTCTCCTAGGCTCACTTGAGGAGGCGGCTCTCTCTCTCTCTCTTTCTCTCTATCTTTCTCTTTCTTTCTCTCGCTCCCGCGTGTCCTTGGACTTGAGCCCCGTTCACGGCCACAACCAACACAGAAATGCTGGGATTGCAAGGCGTGCGGCCACTTTTCCTGCCGGTACCCACCAGGTGGGGGGATGTGCCCGGTTGCTGTTGGCAGGTGGAATGCTCAACATCACCGCAACGTACTCACGAATTATTAGTGCGACGGGACGCCCCCGGAGTAGGGGGTGAGAGAGAGGGCGAGGGAGGAGGGGGGCATAGAAGAAGGAGAGAGCGGGAAAAAGAGAGAGAGAAAGAGAGAGAGGCAAGAAGACGTTATGGTGGTGGAAGTAGCGATGGTTGAAAAGGTGGGGAAAAGGGATATCCAGAAGAGGAAGAGAGGAAGGGTACCGCGGGGCCCTGCGATTCGGACGATCCACCGTGTGATTTCAAGTACGTTCACCGGCTCCACGCTTCCGCGCTTCCGCGGGACGTACCTTTCGGATTTCTGACCTTGCGACGGAGCTTAAAGTTCGCCGGCGGACGCGCTCTCGCGCATTCCGCGCACGTAGTTTCTTTATGAAGAAAATTTATTCTGCAAATTTTTTTTTACTATTTTCTCAACGTAAATTGCGTTGTCACTACGGTAAGAAATTAGGATGCTAAATTTATAATTCGATCGAGAAAACCATCTCGTAAAATTTTTCAACGACGTTTTTCTATATCTCGACGAGCATGGAAAAAGTAAGGCTTTATTAACGATACGTGTTAAATTTGTCGAATTGGTGTGAAGTAGTAACGCCGAGTGACGTGTTTATATTTACGTGACACTCGTAAACGAATCAGAAGCGCTCGGTGAAATAATTATTTCCGCGTTTATTGCTCTCATATGTTTATGTTTCAATGATACGATGTGTATGTAATGAACGGAAGTCGGATTAGGAACGTGTCTCGGGGTTTAACAGGGCGACACGTTGGCGCGGAAGGACATCTCGCTAACTTTACTGCCACAAAATGACGTGATTTTGAAGCAGCAGTTTAAATTTTATGACGCTGTATAAGATCGCACGCAGACGTATCAGTGCATGCGCATGATGAGCGTGTAATGACGGCGGCATTCGATGGTACACCGCGAATGCCGCTCTTCTTTTATTCATTCATTCTATATGCGCGATCTAAAATTTCAACTATGCCGCGCACTTCTGCCCATTCATTTTCATTGGCGGTTACAAGCGTGCTAAAACCGAGAGATGTTATAATCATATTTACAGCTGTGAATATGAACACATCATCACGCACGCCGGCTCGTGCACGACACACGCTTAGGCGCTTTTGCCGCGTCGCGCGGTTTGACACGATCATTGCGTGACAATTTATTATTACTAACAAAAAAAAAAAAAAAAAAGGAAAAAAAAACAAAGCAGCTCGGCTGCTTTTGTGCAGCCGGTAATACGCAGTTTTTTTGCATCGCACATACATAACACAACGCCCTTAAAAAAAAATTACAAAATAAAATAAATAAAACTATTTATGAATTAAAAAACTTATCTGTTTATGTTTAAATTTTGTTGCAAGTATTTAAATTTGTGTTGTAAAATATATTTAATAGCATATTAAATATTTAAATTTAAAATTATATATAACGCGAGAATATGATTTACTTATTATGTGTTCGTGTTTTTGAAATATTAAATTTTTGAAGAGTAAAATGTTTTTATAATTTGACGTGTGACCAAGTTTATATCAAAATTGATTAATTCCTCAAAGTGTACGAGATGCGTTTTCCAAATAAATCAGATAGCGGTACGCGCATCTCATTTTGTAATTAAGTCTGTTTTTGTGATTTAAACGAGTTCGTGTGGTAAACATTCATTCATAAAAAGTAATTTGCGCGGTTCCAGTTGGCGTAATTTCGAATATATACGCTCTGGGGTACGCGGGTGGGTAAAAGCTGTAAAAGAGGAAACGCGCGCAATTTTCATGCCGCCGCGCTGCTGCATCCGCGCGCCGAATATGTTAATAAGATCTATACTTTTGAAAAGAGCACAAAGAGAGTGAGAGAGAAAAAACAAGAGAGAGAGAGAGAGAAGGAGCGCGCTCCAATTAAACGCGCGTTCTCGGAAAAACAGGCTAACGGCGGGACATTTATTTTAACCGAGAATAACACACCGCGCGTTTATCTCATTTCAATAGTGTAATTGAACAGCGTTATCTCAACGCACGACGATTATCATACTCGAAGATTCATATTAACGTCCAGTGAGAAGAAGTTGAAGAATGCGGCACCGCAGTAAACGGGGGGGAGGGGGAGGAGGCGAATTATTACTACGACGAACTGCTAATGAATACCCATTTAGACTCAACCTACAATTAGCGTTTTTCTCGTTTTGGCGCTTAATTGAAAACCGCTATCTGTATGACTTACACGGCGCGCGCACCGAGAGTCATGCTTGAAAAGCCCGCCCGGAGCTTTCGATAAGCGCCATTATGTATAAAGCTGAATCATCCGGACCGATGTTTTCCGGGTTGATGACACTCGCGATCCACTCGAGATTCGATAAAATGAGAGTTCCGCAAGAGAGATAATACGATCTTTCTTTTTTATTAGCTTTAGTCTTTCTCTCTCTTTCTCTCCGTTCCTTTTCATTTGACGATTTGTTTTCAGAGTTTAAGTGAAAATTTATAATGGAACCGCGCGCTAACCTCGCAAGTTTTCCTTCAACTTCCCCACCAAATGTTTGCTGAGTGTAAAACGCTGACGTAATACTTTTGTCCGCGGTTCTTTCTCCTCGAGATCATAATCATCCGCGCGAAATCGTTGCGTTTCTCACAAAAATCCAAACTTTGCGTTTTGTGAGAAAAACGCAACGATTTGTGTATCGCAAAGCAGAACTCTTGAGAGAAAGAATTCTTGACGTTGACGTTATGTCTATGGCGGCGAGAAAAACGACATTTTCATAAATTGCCGTCGACAGATACGATCCCGTTCTTTAAATCGTGCGAAATGCTCCGCATTAAAGCGTATTAAAGCGGATGTCGTAAATTCCGGGGGGCTACTTTGCGCTACATTGAGTCACGTTCAGCATTCATCGCATCGCATTGAAATCCAAGCCGCCGCGCGCGACCGTGTTGTCTTGCTTCGTTCTCGGCAACCGAAAGCTTTTCGCAAAAGACTTCTGTTCCTGCTTTGGTTGCCTGCTTGCTGTGGTTACACCTCCGTCGTCGTTTCGTTGTGATTCACGCGCGCGTATATCTCCCCTGATCGTTATCGTGTGATAATAAATTCGACCTCCTTAATCCCACGACTTATTGTAATCCAGTTGTTAACTCGTTTAGCGACTTTAATAATCCCCGAGAACTGTCCGAACTGGATGAGCGAGTAAGTGGGACACGTCGAATTCTCGCAAGCCGTCGAGTTATCCACCCGGTCACGAATTTCAACAGGAATTTCTCGATATCGGGCTCTCATTCTACGACGTCACAAACAAATCCCGGAGATTCTCTAATACTCCATAATTATATATAGTTTCTCAAAAACTTCTTCGCTATCGAAGAAATTAAATGCGACAAGCGGATCTTATTAAATGTAATGTTGACGGATAGTAAAGTGTGCGCGCATGTGTGCGGAAAGTGTTCCAGTTTATTTCCCGATTGAGAAGTTTACGTCCGGTTTTGCGAGGTCGCCTCGTGAATTTCATTATTAAACGCGACGCGACTCTCGCATATCCCGGACTCGGAATTAACATCGCGGCTTTGGAGGCGGTTAAAGCACGTCCGTATTACGCGGTTTCACCGGGGTTTCCGCCAAACGTATGTACGGAGAACACGCGCGGAAAATAACATTCCGCGAATGCCCCGGGGCGATGATCTCGCGCGACACGGCGCTGGCTCGCGTCGTCTTGTTTAACGGATCGCGAGCGCTCGCGCGCGCGCGAGTATATATGTATATGTATACGTAATGCGGCAAATTCTCTTGTTGCAATCGCTGGACCCTGGACGAACTTGTTTATAGTTATTTTCGCGATGGGATTAACATATTTGCGGCGCGCGGTGTGTTCCCTCGGGATACGAACTGTAAATTGGGAAGCTGGTAAGTGCGACGCGTGACGAGCGTGCGCATTACACCGAGTATAGAGCGCGCAACGTTTATAGGAACATGTGCATATAAATTCCTCCTGTGCGCGCACACGGGACGCATATCCGGAGATTACGGACATGTACTTCGCTCGATCTTCGAAACCCCCATCGATGTACAGACTCGAGCGTGCGAGTTTTCAACGGCAGCGAATAAAACGAATGTGTGCGTATCTGCTTTTGCACTGGCGGCGATAGGTGAGGAGATGTGATTTTTGCAAAACTCTACCGAGAAACGTTATTCAATGAACGAATTGTATGTGTAAACTCTGTGCGGCAAACCGATATCTGAAACAAAAATAGATAATCCACGCGTATACAAATAAAACTCCGCAAAGCCGAATGTTTTTATCTGCGAAAGATTTATAGGTTTTTTTTTTTTTTTTTTTACGCCGATCGCATCGTGCGAATTGTTGCTATTTTTACGGCGCGTGGTTTGATTGTTACACCGCGCACGTGGAAAATAAGTTAAGTCGTATACGTAAGCTAATGTCGTAAAGTCAAGATTTTTTTCGCGAAGATAATCGGGCAATACTTCTGCGTCGTGAGATTTAGTATTGTAATCAGCCATGTGAAGTGGGTTATATCTCATGCTTCTAATCAGCATAAAATACGGCGAGGTTGAATTAACCGATACGCTGTGCCCCGCTATGGCTTCTTGTGGGTGCTGAACGATCTCGGTGGCAAATAAGTAAACGAACAACAAGTTGTCTCGATGTTTTGTATTCGTCGTACGATCGTTCGTTCGAAATTCCGAGAGGTTCGGTTCGTATGAGAAGTTTGTCACAATAGAAACAATAGAAGCGCTATGAACATCAATTGAGTGCATATAATCCCTTCATATGTTATTTAAAATTATATTTCTGAAAAAAAAAAAACAAATGGTATTTAGTGAGTAGTTTACAAAATTTTTGATGTAGGGTTTTGCAAGCTTTTTATTTTTAACAACCTGTTCTACGCACACTCGCATGAGAGTTGTATATTTTTTAAAATATAATGAACTGGATGTCCAGGTTGTACAATGTTAAAAA